CCTGCAAAATAAGCATGTTCGAGTCGATTATGTCTTTGGAGGAGATTTGCTGGCTCTCGTGGAAGGTTTTGGCGGCAACGGCTAAGCTCGACGCGGCGCGAGCTGCCCCGACCAATAAGCTCGAATTTTGTTCATCTTTGGTCGTTTTCAGAAGGGTTGAAGCTCGAATTTGATCCACCAATTTGGGTTGATTCTTCTCTTCCTGAGTTGTGGGCGAGCTTCCTGGAACGTTATAGAACGTATCAGCACCATCGGATTGGATCGACGACCTCCCCAGGCTGCCACCCAATTGACCCTCTCTCCCCCCCTGTACTGCCGCCGGCGAGAAACAGAGAGGGGAAGCTGATCGGCGTTGGATCCCCCTGGGGCACAGCAAGGCGGTTAATGCATGACGTCGATCAAGGAGACTGCTTCCCTTTCGCGACCCGCCTTCTTCCTTAGCTCGATTAGCTGCCAGCTGACGTTGGTATTCTTTGACTTCCGCCGGTGACAACGGCGTGAGCTTGAGCTTCTTCCCTCCATGTTCAAAAGTGTAGCAATTGGTGCGTCCATGGTGAGTTACTCCTCGATCAAATTGCCATGGTCGGCCCAGTAGGATGTGCGCAACGTGCATTGGCGCGACATCGCAGAGAATTTGGTCACGGTATTGATCAATTTCGAATTCGACCCAAGCCTGTTTCGTCACTTTTACAGCGCCATGATCGTTGAGCCAATGAAGGCTGTAGGGTTCAGGATGCTTGCTCGTATGCAATCCAAGTTTTCTTATTGTGTCCAGGCTGATGGCATTTGTACAGCTTCCTCCGTCAATTACCATTAACGCCGTTCTTCCTTGGATGGTGCAGCGAGTGTGGAAAAGGTTGTCGCGTTGTTGGGTGTCGCTGACAGCCTCAATGGTGAGGGCTCTCCTGTTGACGAGAAACGACCCTCCTGGAGGTTCCATCTCGATATTCTCATCCACCTCCTCGTCTGAGTCCTTATCAGCTGCTGCCTTTCCCACTTCGTCATCCTCGGAGTAGTATTCACCATCGCGGAGGACGAGTGCTTTCGGATTTGGGCATTGGAAGGACTTGTGCCCTCTTCCATAGCACTTATAACACTCCAATTTGCTTAGTCCTCCTCCTGGTCGCTCCTGTTGTCCAATTTGGACGGCTGATTTTGACGTTGCTGGCCGATTCGAAGCAGGGGCTTCAGTTTGTGGATTTTCAGACGTCAATTGCGGTCGAGGTACTGCCGGAGAAATGCGACGGCCAGTGCCCAGTTTTAACTGCTTTTCCACTTTGATGGCGAGATGAAGTACATCTTCCAATTCCACAAACGGCCGCAATTCCACTTCATTTCGAATTTCTCGACTCAGCCCATGGAGAAATCGGGCGATCATGGCCTCTCTGTCTTCCCGGACGTCAGCTCGCATAAGAAGCAACTCGAGCTCCCGGTAATACTCCTCAACGCTCCTTGTTCCCTGTCGAATTCCCTGTAGTGTTTCATGGAGTTCGCGTTGATAGTACGCAGGCACGAACCGTCCTCGCATCAAGGCTCGCAGTTCCTCCCAAGTTGTCACAGGAACCTGTCCGTTTTGTCGGCGGCGAACCTGGAGTTGCTCCCACCACTGAGCAGCGTACTCGGTGAACTCGTAGGTAGCTAACGCTACCTTTTGTTGGTCTGTGTAGCGTCCACATTGAAAGAACAACAGAATCTTTCGTTCCCAGTCCAAGTATGCCGACGCGTTCAACGTACCTTGAAACGCTGGAACAGAAAGCTTAATCCCAGGTGGGATTGCTGGCTCGTCGTCGCGATTTCCTCGTCGATCTCGCACATGCCGATCACAGTTGGGCTCAGCTACAACCAAACATCGCTCAAGTTCCTCAATCCGACCCAATATTGCCGGGTTTACTTCGGGGAATTCATCATCGCGAACCTCCCTGTTTTGGACTCTGTTTTCCGGTGGCGCAATTGCGTCAAATCGTTGGTCGATTTCAAGCTTCAATTGGCCCAATTGAGCCTGGAATCTTGCGTCAATCTGGGTCAAAAACTCCTCCATGTCGAACTGATGTCCAGCCATGGTTTGTTGGTTCGAATGATCCGGGCTTTCGTCTTTCGCCGTGTGCTCTGGCTTTTTCCCTCGAAGAGCAGGGTCAGCAGACGCAGAACCTTTCGATCTCGTCCACGGCGCAGTTGCTGCCACTCTTCCCTCCGTTCTGTCCTCTGTGTAGAACCAGGCGATGATGCCACTTGATAACACCAAGGATGGCGTTGGATCAGAGTTACGCAACCCAAACCCAAAGAATTTGAGCCTCTTGATTCCGGTGAACAAACAGGGGAACTAAACAAGCTTGTGAAGCTTGTTTTCGTGATGAATGGTGATGGGAACGAGAGGGAATTCTCACACCTGGGAGGATGCACAGTCGTTATAGGGTTACCTTCGAATGATCGAGTGGGGTTGCTCGATCAATAGGCCAAAGTTCAGCAAGTTTTGATCGCAACCAAAACCAATTTCAACTCACAACTCAAAACGTTGAGAATTTGGGGGTTTTTCTTCACAAATCAACTCTGAATGTTACAAAACGAGTTTGAGGCCTTTTATAGGCTTACATAATTACAAACAAACTAGAATAAGGATTGAAACTAACCTAACTAAGCAAGGAAACTAAATTACAAACATAATCCGAATTGAATTGGGAATCCTTGTTTGACACGGATTACTGGCAGTGCGAGATAGCTTCTTTGAAGCCCTCGACAATAGTCTTCCTAGATGATTCGATCTCACCAAATCCCTTGTCGTTGTAGAAGGAAACTTCCTCTGTATCCTCCAACTTGAATCAGCTCGAACTCATTTCCCAAACTCAAGTTATGGGTCTTCAAAGGTAGCACCTTGATCACAGTTTCTGCCTTAGTCAAATCTGGACAGATTCCAGGTTTCTTCTTAGCATTTTGTGAGACTTGAAAAACATACTTCCTGGAACCTCCTCGAGCTCCATGACATATCAATGAGCTCATAAAGTCTTGAAGTTCACATTGATGCTTTGATCCTTCATTTCCAACAACTGGTTTGAGAGATATGAGCCTCCAAAGTAGGCTCCTTAAACTGGATTCCATACTTAGCCATTTTCCTCCACTCTTCTTCCAAACTTCACTTCCATCTTTCTTAAGCAATTCCAACTTCAAGATTGATCCAATTGGGGTCATATCATTCCCTTCCTGGCCCACTCCCCACAGAAAATCACTACACATTTTTTAATATCCACAATCACCTTCTTAGGCAAAATAAACACAGCCATCCAAAATTGAACCGTACTGTATAATACTGAGAGTACCAGTTGAAGTCTTCCTGCATAGCTCAGAGTTTTCACCCCCCCAGTTCTGGATCCTTTTGGTAATTTTGTCAATTAAAGGACGGCAAGCCTTGGTAGTCAGCTTTCCAGGGATTAATGGGATTCCTAAGTACCTAACAGGGAGAGTGCCTAGCTCATAGCCCGCTCTGGCAGCCATCCTCTCCTGCCAATCCATAGGTAAACCACAATAGTAGAGCTCACACTTAGCTGGATTAGAAACTAATCCTGAGAGTAGTCTAAACTGTTTAAGGACCTCTTGAATGCATTGAATGCCATAGTTGGATCCATCAGAAAAAAGCAATAAATCATCAGCAAACATTAGGTGGGTTAAGCCTATTCTTTTGCACATTGGGTGAAAAGGCATTCTATTTTCATGAACAGCTTTCTTCATAAGGCAACTAAATACCTCCATTGCTACAGCAAACAGATAAGGAGAGAGGGGATCTCCTTATCTTAATCCCTTTTTTGTTGAAAAATAACCAACCACTCCTCCATTGAAACCAACACTGATTTTAGGTGTAGTGAAGCACATTGTAATCCATTTAATGAAACTTAAAGGGATATTCATGGCCTCTAACACAGAGGTGAGAAACTTCCAATCCACAGAGTCAAAAGCCTTCAGTAGGTCCACCTTCACCATACACCTAGGAGACATATTTTTCCTACCATATTTCTGCACCATTTCATGAGCAAGCATAATATTTTCTCCTATGATTCTTCCTTTAACAAACGCAGTTTGGTTCTCACTAATCAGATGAGGCAAGCATTCACTAAGCCTAGAAGAAATGATATTTGCTATACATTTATATAAAATGTTACAGCATGATATAGGTCTGAAAATTTTCATTTCTTCAGGTTTCTTAGTCTTAGGCAGTAATGCTAAGAGAGTAGAGTTTACCTCCAATGGGAACTCAGAAACTGAGAAGCAGTGCTAGATAGCAGCTGTGATTTCTTCCCCAACCAAACTCCAAGCAGAATGGAAAAAACAGGCTGAATAACCATAAGGGCCAGGACTTTTCTCCCTTTTAAACCCAAACATAACTTTCTTAATCTCTTCTGCAGTGACTGGTTTACACAATTCTATGGCAAGGTTACTAGGAAGTGTCTTTTGCAACAGTCCCCTATAGAAGTCCACTGACTCAGCTTTAACTGTAGGATCAGCCTTACCAAGCAGATTCTGATAAAATCTCATGGCAACCTCACTCATACTTTTTGTATCAACCATCCTTTCCCCCAGCTTCATTGATAAGAGATCTTATTGTGTTCCTCTGGGTTCTAATTTTGACTGAGAAAGGTTGTATTTTATTTAAATATGAATGTATTTTTTTATCAAAGTTCAATTGATATTTAAATATGAATGTAGATTGTAAGTGATTGTCTTCAAATATGGTTATATTATGCTTAAATTCATTTAATGTTAATGATTTTTTATATATTTTTACATATTTTGATAACCCGATATTGATAGGTATAAATCAATTATACCTCTCGAACAAAATCACTTGTTAAACTATATAACGGTATAAACTGGTTTGACAACCGTACGATAACTAACAAAGTTAGGCCATTTACGACAACGTTTGTAGCGTCCCGCCTCAAGGAGTTGAAAAAAGTTGGCAAAAGTGCAAAACCGAGCCTCGTCTGGACAGGCTGTTTGTGTTTCGATGCTTAGTCAGCCAGCGGCGCGAGTATGAAATCCCCGCCAAGCCCCAAACCATTCGGAGCATTTCCCAAGTACACCCCTCCCAATTTCGACACCTGATGGAGGGTGGAATCGTCATTTAACCACATCACTCGTCATATTCGCCCACAACTCCAGAAGACAAGACATCACCTCTTCACCGGAGCCAAACCCGAAACCTCCCCCGCGTTCTTCTCCTTTTGCCCCTGAAAGTGACCAGATCTAACCCAAAAATTTCAAATTCAGCTACCTTAAAGAACCCTAATTTCCCCCTCCATTTTCGAATCATTTCCTCCTATTCGCGGGTTCTTCCGTCGTAATCTCTTGATCGGTCGCGGTGTCTTTTTAGAGTCCGGAGAGAGCTGATTAAGCAAGGATGGGCGATTTCAATCTCGCCCTAATAATCGTCGCTATAGTGGTGTGCGTCATCGTCTTCATCTTCAATGTCTACCTTCTGGTTAATTACCAGCACCCGGATGACAAGAACCAAGCTTACTTCCCCAAATTCGTGGTCGTTTTCGGCCTCTCCGTCGCCGTCATCTCCATACTGATGCTGCCGGCCGACGTCGCTAACCGGCAGGCCTGTCGCCACGCGATATACAATGGCGCCTGTAGTCTCACTTTGCCAATGAAGGATCTCTGGATCGCTGTCTATATCATCGACGCTGTGCTGGTCTTCTTCATCATCCCTTTCGCTATGTTTTACTACGAGGGGGACCAGGACAAGTTGGTGATCTTTTCCTTTCGCTATCCATAATGAACCGCTGATAATTTATGAATTGGGTTCCTGACTGCTCTTTTTTGGTTGCAGGACTGTGGGCAAGCGGATTAAGAGCGCACTGATGTGGGTGATAACGACAGCCATTGTATGCGCGCTTCTGCTTGGCATCTTATATGGTTAGTGATTTTGTTTAGCTTTTTAGTGTGGGGTGATCAGTGTCTGTTAGGTTTATGAATTTTCTGAGTTTGGAAGTTCCCAGGCATGAAAATATTAGTTGCTTCTGGAGACTGTAATTCTGCGATTAGAAGGTTATTGGTTGGGCATTTCTATTTAGAGTATCTTCCTCATGAATATGCATTCTAAACCCATCACCGAATGTTGGAAGATTTCGATAACCTACTTAGAAATGTGTAAATGGCATTGGAGCCAGTATTAACTTTATGCTCTTGGTGCTATATCAGGGCTAGTTGGAAAGGTGGATTTCACAGTTAGGCATCTTTCCTCGACCACTACAAACTTTCCTACTTCGTGGAGTTTCTCCACAAGTCAACCATGTGTCGGAAATAATGCTCGCCAGGTTATCATTATGTTGCCTGGCCTTCATCTTGCTGAGTGTTGATGAATTTCTCTCTGTTCCTTTATTCATCTAAATTCATTCTGCACTTGAGGGCACCTCGAACTTTTGCATGTTTGTTAGTTTACTCGTCCTGCCCTCTCTGACTCACCTTCTAAAGCTTTTTACCATTGGTTACAGTGCTCAGCATATCTTGCCAATGCCGCTTCAGAGAAGACTTGGACTATGCAAACCACATTTCCTGAATATGTTGTTGCACTTGCTACGATAGCTGGATCTGTGCTTTTCTCGGTGAGATCCTTCTACTCCAAATGTTGTTTTTTTTTTGCTGTCCATGAAGATGTTTTGCTTTCCGTTTCTGCGTCTTTGAGGATTTTCCCAGTTTGTTTCATATGGATAATGGGAGTTTTCATGTTTATATGTGTTCTTAGTAACACTATATCCAAAATTGAAGGCAGTCATGTTTGTCCTTTTCAATGACATGTTCATTTTGTTGCTGTCTTGCAAATCTTCAGATATTTGGTGGCGTTGGCATTGCGTGTTTGCCTCTGGGACTCATTTTTTCATTCATCCGACGACCAAAGGCTGTTATCACGCGTTCACAGTACATTAAGGTGATTGCTAGATACACTATAGAAAATAGGCAATGAAAGAGGTTCCTAAGCTCATGTCTGTATACATTCTGTAGGAAGCAACAGAGCTTGGTAAAAAAGCAAGAGATCTTAAGAAGGCAGCTGATTCACTTCATCAGGAAGAGAGAGGTGGTGCTAAGGGGAGAAAATGGCGTAAAAATGTTAAGGCAGTTGAGAAGGTGATACATGTGACCCAAACACAGTATGCTGATCATGCTGCAGGTTGGTTTTGTCCCTTTAGGCTATTGATGCTTCTTTCTGGCATGGTTGAACTTTCAGGAATTGCATCAGTTGGAAGAAGATGTAAAGTTGCTTGAAGAGATGTACCCTCAAGGAGAAAAGGTGTGAATATAGCTTGTTGGTTGGATAAATAGACACGTTTTTGTTGTCTTGGTTTTAAAACTACGTATCTGGCATTTTCAGGCCGAGACTACTTGGGCTCTCACTATACTTGGTTATTTGGCAAAACTTGTGCTGGGAGTTTTGGGGTAAGTGCCGACCTTGAAAGATATAGTGTTAAGTCAGCAACTTTTGTCTTCATCAGTTATTTGATTGTAATATCTGTATAAGTTACTACCCGTTCTGAAACCCTTTGTTCGTACACAACACTCTCCTTATGTGGAGACTACCTTGCAGGAATTAGCCTAGTTTTGCTTTGCTCTTATTGTGGCTATTTCATTATGAAAAATGGCTAATCCAATTGGTCCTACCCTGCCCTTTGATTGTGGGATCCAATTTGTTCCTTTTGTAGGTTGATTGTCTCAGTGGCTTGGATTGTGCATATTATCATATATCTACTGATTGACCCTCCACTTTCTCCTCTCCTCAACGAGGTTTTCATTAAGTTGGACGATGTGTGGGGTGAGCTTGAAATTGTTGTTGTATTTCTCTACCATTTTTGTTGGGTTAAATCTAAAATCTTATGTATATCCTCTGCGCTATGCTGCTAGGTCTTCTTGGTACTGCAGCATTTGCTTTCTTTTGCTTTTATCTTCTCCTTGCTGTGGTGGCTGGTGCAATGATGCTGGGGCTCAGATTAGTTTTCATCACAATCCATCCCATGAAGTAATAAACTTTTTAACCCTTATACTCAGTTGTGATGCTTTAACCATTTTTTAGTGGTACTGATTAGTGAAATTTGCACTTAACAGGTGGGGCGCAACTCTCATGAACTCATTCCTTTTCAATGTGGGACTCATTCTCCTGTGCTCGATTAGGTAGGTGTCTTTTATCTACTAGATTGTGCCTTGATCCACGACGCTCAACTGTTAACCATAGTTGCTTGTAGTTTTGGTAGTTGCTTATTTTGTGATAACTTATTTCCTGTTTTGCTAAGATATGTCTGATGCAAGTGACTCTTTACTAAGGGATGGGTAGTTTCTAATCTCTCTGGCTTTGAATATGAGTGTGACTGCCTTTTTTCTGCCTGCTCTTTCAGTGTGATCCAATTTTGTGCCACGGCTTTTGGGTATTATGCACAAGCAACTGCAGCTCAAGAAATTTTTGGCCACACTTTGCAATCTCTTCGTGGGATAAAATATCTTTACAAGTGAGTTGTAATACTAGAGTTCTGACTGTTTGTAGGATCTTATAGAACTGGCACTGACTAATTGAGCTGTTCATCTGAACAGGTACAATGTGTTCCAAATCGCATTCATTGTTCTTGCGGGTTTGACTTTCGTATATTACACTGCCTTTGTAAGTTTCCTGGTCTACTTTGTTGTCTACTCCGTCACTCTTCTTTCATAATTATCTTAGACTTGGGATATGATAATCTGACGACATCCTTTCCATGTACCATCATAGGGATGGAAAAGGAAAAAACCTAGTGGCAGGTTCCAACTCTCGAGCTGAAGCATGTTCTGATCATCAATGCGAGTGCTACCTTGGACTGGTCAGTGGAATCTGTCTCTTTGTTTTCCGGCGTGGTGTTTTTCCTTATTCGGTCTTGTCTACCGAGCAAGTAAAGAATCTGAGCGTTGAGAGAGATTTGCAGATATGGTTCGAATTAGGTTGCCGGGGGAGCTTTAGAAGGGGAAAATTGTGCTGGTTTCCTTGTTATCTGTTTTTTTTTTTGTTCGTGGTTTTGCTGCTGCCTTTTGTTCATGCTCTGCTCATTTTGTATGTATTATCATTCTTTTGTAACCGGATAATATACATGTTATATACGCTTGGTTTGGGGGAATCTGTATGACTTCGTCGCTGGACACATTTAGGGAGAATGGTGAAGGCGGGGTTGTTTGGCTGGGGCACATCTGATAGGAACTTTAACTTACCTTCTCTTGTAATATAACTACGTCAGAACAAACAAAGATGAGACATGATCGAGTGAGTTGATTCAATTTTTTAACACGTTTGACTTATTTCTTGTGTTCATTATTATGGACGACACAATGTCCCTTTGTTTTCTTGTCCTCGGACAGTCGATCAAATTACAAATAGAACAGGGACAGCATTGGATAGCTAAAACTCCAAATAGACAGAGTTGACGCGAAACCCTGTCTACTGGCAGTGAACTCTCATTAATCCCAGAGAGCAATTTTGTTGAAGTCGAAATTGCAGATATTGATAGTCTTCCCGTCGTTACCAACCATATCGTATGGCGAATCTTCTGGAAACTCGACCGGCATGAATCTGCAGTCGAGGCTTGGCTCCCATTCTGCTTCCTTGATGACCTTGAGAATCTCCTTCACCACCACCTTGCTCCCCTGCGGCGACAGATGGATTCCATCCCTGCCAAAACCAAGCCACCAATCAAGCTCACCAAGCAGAAGAAAACAGGCAACAAGAGCAAGCATTGCTCTTTTTGTGTGTGCTTGATTGAACCCAAGCTAGAAGAAGGTAAGAAGCTCTACGTGAAGCAATTCTTCCAGTTGTCTGTTTGCTGTATCGAACTCCAGAGATCCACTCCCTTAACGCCGATCTCGTCGCACAGCTTCATACACGCTCGGGAGTAAACCCCGCACGCCTCATTCGTCCGAACCATGTCGAACACATTACTGCACAATGATCTCATAACATATAACATCATTCAATCAAATGCAGATCAAGACAGGACAGTAAATAAAAAGGGGAGAGACTTGATTCACCCTAGCGTTGTGTTCATAAGGTCCTCGGCTACAGGAGGGGCAGTGAGGAAAATCACCCGGGTCTTGTCGGATAAGCTCTGCGCCAGAAAGGGGTTCCCAACCCCACAGTTGAGAGGAATCAAAATATATGTAGTGGGTTTTATGGAACTGGTGATTTTGAAGTAGTGTCAGTGAATGTGTGCATACCTTGAGATGGAGGGCGATTTTGGTCATGTTGTCGACGTATTCGGGAAGAGGGACGTGAGGGCCGAGCCCTGTTTGGTGCGGGTGAATTGAGTCATTGCCGCCGAAGTAAACGACGACGAGGGAAGGCTGGACGGCGGCGTCTTTGGGGAAGACTTGATGGAGAACTTGGAGAGCTCGCCTGGAGTTCCAACCTGAATATCCACGCAGCACTATGTCGGCCTGCTCTGCCCAGTTCATCAGTGGCGGTGCTGAATGAAGATAGTAAAATGGGGGAGGGAGAGAATTGAGGAGGATGTGGGGGCCGGTTTTGTACCTTACGAGCGTAGATGTCGGCGAGAATAGCACCCCATCCGCCATTGCTGAAGCTCATCTGAACAATTGATGACCCAAACAGCACGAACTGTGGCCTTGCTAGACCTGCCATCTCTTCCTCCCCAACTTGGACCTTGTTTGCCTCGTTTCTCTGGTTTTCTTCTTGTTTTTGTTTTGTTTTGTTCTGCCTGTCGTGTGAGAATAAGGATGATGTACTCACGACATATGCATTGGGGGCAGGGGCATCCGTTAAAGGAGACCGACAGTGTCTTCCGGTTGTTGGATTTGTTTAATTCTTCTTTGATGGATGTTTTCGTCTAATTCTTGTTATTAGGGGTGGGTATCTCTCGATTCGGTCCCAGACCGGACCAAACTATTCTCGGACCGGACCTTCAAAAAGCCATTGATAAACCGCCTCTGTGGGGAACTTGAAAAGAATCAGACGATCCTCCAACCAAGAGACACGCACTTCACCTTCCCTACCCCATAACCAGTTCGCCCAGGAACGAATCGTTCGCTAGCGATGGTGGAGCTCCCAGAAATTGACCAACTAAACTGTTTTCTCACTCCCGAGCACCCTCTTCCAGCACCGCTTTTGGAACTCGAATTGACCCATTGACCAATTCCGGCTCATAGAACTCCAATTTTGAATCCTCAGAGACACCGAACAACGAAGCCCACGATCGGCCGCCACCAACGGCGCCCGATGAGGCTCCGTCAACGACGACCGTCATCAGAGATCGCGACCCTAACCTGAAATTGGGAGAGAAACTGAGAATTTTTTTTAGAATTAAATCGTACTTTTAGCTAATTTTTGATAATTTAGCAAAAAAGACTTGCTATGTATTTCCACAGGGCATGTCCTTTGACAGATGGACACGTTCTGTCCGTGGTGGGATAGTGTTGAAGATGGCATCAAGAGTTTTGGAAGCAACAGTCATGGTTTGATCTGCTCCATAACCGAGTTGCATCATGATAAATTAGCTCAACATAATGAAAATTTGAGGGTCGGGGAGCAAGTTAAAAGGTTTATTTGATCCGTCCAAATATCAATTCAGTACTTATCCCTGTTTTGGAAGAAATTAATGAAATTGACAATCTAAGTACATTATAAAAGGTCCAGATTGATCCCTTGAATCCAGACCGGCTCCAACTCTTCAAAAAGAAAGGAGGCAGTCTGAATTGGTATTCATTAAGTCAGGCCTGCCTCATCATAAAAATTTATGGACTCTCTCGCATTGGCCCTTGATAAGCTTCTCTTTGGAGCAAATGGACCATCACAAGGTTTATGCTTTTAGTATTCTTGGCTGGGTGTGGGTTCTGCTAGTCACGGGGCTTACCAATTTATTCCTTTTAGCATTTTGGCAGGCTTCCACCACAAACACCAATGTTTCATTTTTCTCATATTTTGCTTTTGTTGTTACCGCAGAGAGACGACGGACAAAAGAAAGCCAAAGAAAGAAACAAAGGGTTCAGAATCGCACATGTAAGCTTTGACTACCAAGCCAAGTTTCTCATGGCAGGCTTGAGTTCAAGAAGTGGTTGTAGCCAAGCGTATCGAAGAGGGTGACTCCTGAGAATTCACAGGGCATCGACTCCCAATGCAGGCTTGGTTCCCACTCCGACTCTTCTATCACCTTCAAGATCTCATTCCCCACTACCTTGCTCCCTTCTGATGTCAGATGGATCCCATCTCTGCCCACACAGCAGCAGCAATTGCAAATTACAAACAGTGCCGCAAAATCCAAACAAAAGCACAACAATTGTTGACCAGTGCAGCAGCTTAGGTGCTGGCTGACTTACATGAAATAGGCAGTCTGCCAGTCCTCCCGTTGTTGCTGGAACACAGACCACAGATCAATGCATGTAACCCCCATTTCCGAGCACATCTTCATACAAGCTTCTGCATACATCCGGCATCTCTCATTTGTGCGACCACAATCTCTGCCCAGACAAAGAAAAGTAATGCCAAAAACTGAGCTCTTTGTTCCCTGCAACATTATTAAGAAGAGGCTCGAGGGTCTTAACGCCAAACCCAAAATATTTAGTGACCATCTTCTCATTGACTGGGGGAGGAGTAAGAAAGATGAGGCGAATCGTCTCAGAAAGGCCCTGGCAACCAGAAATCCGCACTAGATTCAGAAACCCATTTAACGGTTCAATGTTTGATTCTTGCAGAGAGGTGTGCAGTTAGGATGCATGATTACCTTGAGATGAGCAGCAATCTTGTTCATGTTTTCGTAGTACTCAGGAAGAGGTACATGAGCAATGGACCGGTCTTGGCTGCACGAATCATTCCCACCAAAATAGACTATAACCAGTGCAGGATGTGTGGCAGCATCCTGAATCAAAACAAACTTCTCAGTTTTTCCATCCACCAATTCCCAAAAGAGGGAAATTCACCTCACCAATTGAAGCTCCTATATCAATTAAGACATCATAAAGAGGAGAAGAAAAGGCATTTTGTTGTTTATGTCCAGATTACCAGTCTTGAGAGTTATGCTGTCGTAAAATGAAAGCATAAGCCAAAAGATAGAGGAGGCACCTTTGGGAAAACTTGTTCAAGAACCTTGAGAGCATCCCTCGAGTTCCAACCTCCATATCCTCTTATCAAAATGTCTGCCTGAGACGATCCCAGTGGTGGGGTGTCGAGCCAATCACAGAGTGAACAACAAGCATAAGCATTTTGAATTCCCGAAATGGGGTTTCAAGACAGCAACTTGCAGTTGAAACCCAACCAAGAAAATGAATTTAGAGAACCAAAACTCAAAGCAAATGATCAAGTGAGGGATTTATCACCCCCTTCTCCATTTCAACCCCTAAATTATTTCTAGAATCTTGGCCATCATAAAGGTCGCAAATTGCGCCTGGATGAGAAAGGGAACTCTCCACAAACATGCGACGGACAGAAACAGATACCCAGCCAACAATAAAAACACAAAAAGAAGGGTTACCACCTTGCGAGAGTAGTAGTCAGAAAGCATAGCGCCCCACCCACCAACTCCATAGCTGAACTGGACGATGGAGGATCCAAACAACACGAACACCGGTCTCGCCGTTCCCACCATCTCCCCTGCCGTTGCGACGGTGGTAGGCAACGGTGGCCTCAAATCACGGGCGGTCAGGTAAATGGGGAACTGAACACTCTGATTCGGCGGTGATTCCCACCTTTTGCCCAAAGCCCTTGTGGTGGTTTGCGGATTCCTCCGATCCTACATATGCAGTTTTTGGTTTTACAAGTTAGTAGTTGTACACTTGTACTCGGGACTTCTTTGTTTGGGTCTTCTTTTCGGGTTGGCGTTTGGAGAAGAAAGTCTTCCCTTTGCAATAAGGTCGAAGGATATAGTTTTCGGATGAGCTGTGCCCGTAACCGTCTTCCCACCAATTCCTTGGAACTAGAAGATGTACTGATTCTGACCGCTCAACTACTGTTTATGGCCACCGATATTTCCAGTTCATTTTACTTATTAATAACTTTTTGTCCAAATAAAAAAATATTATTATAAATTGCGAAATGCCGAAAGCTTAAAAAAAACTAATATTACCAAAAAAATGCCGAAAAAATGGGAATAATCATCATAAGCTTTTATGATGAGAGCTCAATAATATATATATTTTTTTATATAGTAGAAGTTCCTTGCAACAAATTATTTTCATACTTAACTCGTTTGCTATCATCTTGGACGATTCCGTCTCAAATATTATTGGTTTCCTTCCATGTTTTATGGTATTACCTTAACCAAAATAAGACCATGTGATTTATTAAACATTACAAATAAGCACGGTAGTTATGAAAAAACAAAAGCACGGTAGTGGGGGTGGGGGGGAGTTTGAGTGCTTCCTCCTATAATTTCGAGACATTGTATTTATCAAATTTTTCTAGAATGCAATCACTCGTGTTATTTTTAGATTCGACGAATTTATATTAAAAAAAATATTTGACGAATTTATGGATCTAATTGGATATTGAAAAATCATTTTTCCTTGATCTAATCTAGTTCAGGCTTATAAATGAATGTTTATGCCTTATCAGGGGTGGAGCTACCTTATGCCTCGAGGGATCCCGACCCTGGAGAATTTCGAAGATCACTTGTAAAAATATTGAGAATTCTTAAATTTCTGAAGAAATTAACTTTTTGTATAATAACTATACAGCATAAAATGACTAACTTACCTTGGTCTAGTCGAATGGAATGTAGCTATTAGTGTATTTGTTGTATTTTGGTTCAATCCCAGGCATCAATATTTTTTTTTCCAATTTTTCTCTTTTTAGTTTAATTTTTGTTTAAAATTTAGACTAATCACTTAACTTTTGTACTTCTTCATATATTATTTAATTTCAAAGCAGATAATTAAATTTTGGAGCTTATGACTCACATTTTAATATTTTTTAATTAAATTTCAACCTAATAAGTTAACTTCCTGTTGGGTCTAGTATTAACCCGTCTAATACGGGCCCAAGCCCACCACAAAGCGTCTCACCTTGGGCCCAAGCCCATTTTAGGGTCCAGTACACCGGGAGGCGTCCATCACCGGGAGGCGTCCAGCCTACCTGGGGGCGTCCACCACCGAGAGGCGTCCATCGACGGGAGGCGACCACTCTACCGGGGGCGTCCATGACAACGGGAGGCGTCCACAAGATGCCTCCGACTCCTATATAAGGAGGCCAGACCCTCCAAGCAAAGGGACTTCTCTCCCTTCCCTCACTTTATCACTTATGGTTCTGTCTCTAAACCCTATCTCTCTCTACACTCTATCATATATCATATTCTAACTTGGGCGTCGGAGTGTAGCCGCCCCCGACTCTCCACAAGATTCTTCCACTCCCGAGGAGATCAGACGAGGGAGTCCGGAACAAGGTTTCACACAAATCCCCCGGTACTAATCCGGGTCAAACATTTTGGCGCCCACCGTGGGGCCTGATTCGGTGTTCTTCTTGTTTGATTTCTGAAGAGGGGAAGAGATCGCCTCTTCGGCGACCAAGCTTCGACAACCTCACAAAATCACAGATCTGAGAATATCTTCCTTCTTCCCCAACTGAAAGAAAATGAAAACAGATCCGGGTCAAGAAAAGAAGGAGAGATCAGCGACCTCTTCCTATAGAGTCACCTCCATCTTTGACCCCACCAGATTGCTCGCCATCGTCACCAACCCTCTAGCCGCCCATCTTCATGAAACGTCGACACCGGTAGCGACTCCGGTCATCGGGGTTGTGCACAGCCCCAATGCTCCGACAAGGGCAAGAAGAAAATCTCACAAAAAGCTGTTCACTTCAGTTTCTCTCTCCGTCAGAAAAGACAAGCTTTTCTCTCTCCATTAGTAAAAGCAGATTTGTCTCCATTACTTCTTTCTCTCTCCGTCAGAAAAAGCAGACTGTTGAAGTATGCAGACCTGCCTAACTGAGCAAAGAGGGGAGGTCTGAGTCACACTTTCTCGTTTCCCCATAATGGTGGACTGGCGAAACTCCCAAGGGAGACAGCCGCATCTGATACACGCCTCCTCCATTCTCACACGCAACAGGCCGCCTCACAACTCGCATTGCGGGCCTACGGAGCAGTTTTCAGTCCTCACTCCCCGCCTACGTCCGGCCCGCTTCAAATCCAGACCGCCTGGGTAAGCAAATGCCGCCTTCATTTTCCATTCAAGCCAGGCCCGCAAACTATCGTGCGGACCATCAACATCTTAAGGCCCGCATACTGTTGTGCGGTCCACTTCGTCGCCCTTGACACTTCAAGGAGCGCCCAGATGGCAACAGGCCGCCTCACAACTCGCATTGCGGGCCTACGGAGCAGTTTTCAGTCCTCACTGCCCGCCTACGTCCGGCCCGCTTCAAATCCAGACCGCCTGGGTAAGCAAATGCCGCCTTCATTTTCCATTCAAGCCAGGCCCGCAAACTATCGTGCGGACCATCAACATCTTAAGGCCCGCATACTGTTGTGCGGTCCACTTCGTCGCCCTTGACACTTCAAGGAGCGCCCAGATGGCAAAACAACATTAGTGGGTTTCGAACCCACATCAGTATGCGGTCCACTTCGTCGCCCTTGACACTTCAAAGAGCGCCCAGATGGCAAAACAACATTAGTGGGTTTCGAACCCACATCCTCTCCTCACAAAGAAGCGCACACAACCAATACACTACGAGGAGACTTTTTGCTTTACAAATGCAGCAGTTTATTATTACTCACCAACATCTCACGACAAGTCAATCTTTGGGCTCAAGGCCCGCTCCTGCATTAAAGGTCGATCCGCCTCAAACCGAAAGTGACCGCCCTCTAATCAGACTTACCAGGCTCGCATCCATTCACGACCCGCCTTGCGAAGGAAGCCCACAGAGGAGCCCATTGCACGATCCATTAGTTGAACAGACTTCATTCTCAACAAAATGAAAAATAAAGAACGCCTCTGCCAAGATTCGAACACGTATTAATTGGCTGGGATACAAGAACGCCAACCGGTTGGCTACAACATCTTCTTATGTCATTAGTGGCGGCCGCCTTATATCTATCTCGTCTCCAACATGCCAGGGGCCCAAGACCCATTTCCGTGGATGCAAGACCGGGACCGCCTTGCTCCACATCCGATTTTTCAAGGCGATCCTGTCCATCGTCGATGGGCCGCCTCCATCATCAACGCGATCCGCCTCGCATACGGGCTCCTTTGCCCGAAAGTCCAATAAGCAAGCCCATCACGCCACTAGAAGACTGGGCGCGCTTCGCTTATTAGAAGGCCACAACCCGGGCCCGCCGGCCTCAAAGGCGAGCCTCCTCCAACTCAAGGACCGCATTAGGTCCACCTGCAAAGCCCATCACGCCACTAGAAGACTGGGCGTGTCTACTTACAAAAAGAAGAAAAGAAACACATGCACCAGACTCGAACACCTGACCTAGCTCTCATATGCAAGGGAACTTACCATTTCCGTGGATGCAAGACCGGGACCGCCTCGCTCCACATCCGATTTTTCAAGGCGATCCTGTCCATCGTCGATGGGCCGCCTCCATCATCAACGCGATCCGCCTCGCATGCGGGCTCCTTCGCCCGAAAGTCCAATAAGCAAGCCCATCACGCCACTAGAAGACTGGGCGCTTCGCTTATTAGAAGGCCACAACCCAGGCCCTCCGACCTCAAAGGCGAGCCTCCTCCAACTCAAGGACCGCATTAGGTCCACCTGCAAAGCCATCACGCCACTAGAAGACTGGGCGTGTCTACTTACAAAAAGAAGAAAAGAAACACATGCACCAGACTCGAACACCTGACCTAGCTCTCATATGCAAGGGCACTTACCATTTTGCTACAAGACTGCCTTGAGGATTAGAAAGCGACTCGTCTTACTTAGACCGTTTCCCAGCTGTCTTCTACAACTTATTCTCAAGCTAAGTACTTCCTTCTAAGATATATTCAAATACTATGCCATGAAGACCGCCACTAATATCATACTATGATATTTCTTACTACATCCTATGCTATGACATATTTCACGCATGCTATGCTTATGTTTGTGCTCTAAAAATATGGGGCACTAGTCACTCACATCTTTCGCAGATGTAAAACCGCATCCCGCTTCCTGAGCAATGCTTCCCCTCTACGTAGAAGCCCGAAATCGCCTCCCAGTAGGCGCGCCATCGGTATAGCTAACACGATCCCGCCTCCCAGCAGGTGTGGCATCTTCACGCCTTGAACTTACAGATCCTCATACTCTTGCAAAAGACTGCCTCCAAAGCCCATTCCATTTCGCGTGTGGATCAACTACCACTTATGGTCCACCATGCTTTCAATCTAGACAAGACTCATGGCCCGCCTTTCAATGAAGACCGCATTAGATCCGCTCAACTCACAACGCGACCGTATCGGGTCCGCAAAGCCCTTCATCCATAGAAAAAGGAAATGCGGGGGAGCAGTCTTCCCAAATCTACTAAGCCCGCATTATATCTCAAGGCGACCCACCTCTCAAATCCTTCACCTACAAAGTGTTCAGCTTTCAAGACCATCTGAGCCAAGACCTCCATGCAGGCTCGCTCCACATCCTGTCCGGTCACAAGACCAGTCTGCCAAGTCCAAGCCGCAACCTTGCGTCATACTCCAAACCAGTCTCCTTTCAACCATTCCCAATCCCGGTCAGTAGTCCAAGCATATAATGGGCCGCATTCCGGTCCACAACCAGCCTCCTCCGGCCTACAACGAGCGAAGCTTGACAGCACGCCAGACACGACCCATAAAGCTCTCTCAATTGTCCCATTACAAAAATAAAGGAGGACCGCCTCCGCAAAGCTTCAAACCCTCGTCCAGCCAAGCACAAGATGATCATCACCACCATGCTACGTTCCGCCTCCGTGCGATATTATCATCGCAAGAACGTTTCCACTTGAAATGAAAGCCCGATCATGCATCGGCACGAAGACCACACCCGACCTCCGTCTCCCACAGGCGGTACGTCGACACAAGAGAAGTCTGGTCCTGTGTATCATAC